ACTTGTTATATGGGATATGGGCTAGGCCTAATCTCTGTCCACCTACCCTCTGCATGGTGGGAGGAAATCTGGATCACCGCTACTGTTTAGCACAGTGTTTGAGATCCTAGCAAGAGGACATGTCCTAGTAAGACATGAAAAGAGTGTAAAAGATGTAAATATTAGAAGGGGACAGGGAAAACAATTATTAATTTGACATAGTATGACCAGTCAAACTCCTCCTTTGCACCATACTCAAAGGTAGACTTTCAGATGTGTCTCAGAGCTAAAAATGAAGACAAAAATGTTAGGCTAATTGAAGAAAACTTAGGAAAATGTCTTTGTGTCCCACATTTTGGAGGAAAACTTGTTGAGGTTGATAGCAAAGCAAAGGTGGAGAAGGAAAGCTGCATTTAACTATACCAGAATTTAAAGTGTCTGACAAACCAAGGATGCTATGGGTAAAATGAACAGGTGGGGAGCAGATGGGGTAGATAATTGCCAAAATAAAATTGAAAAGCAGTTGCTTTTTAATATGTAAAAATTATTCTGAAAAAAACAAAATGATGAATGCAGAGACTGTAGAAAAAGTAATGTGATACTACCTTACCAATTAGAATGGTAAATACTAAAATGGTATTGAGTGTTGGTGAGGAGGTGTGGAGATGGTAACTCTTGTTCACTGTGGTGAGCATGTAGATTAGTTCAGTCATTTTGGAAAGCAATCTGGAAGTGTGCAGTGAAATGCAGATGGCTGAGCTGGGCATGGTGGTGTGCACCTGCAACCCAGCTACTCAGGAGGCTGAGGTGGGAGGACCCTTGAGACCAGGAAGTCAAGGCCTGTTGAACCAGGGGCAACACTGTGAGATCTTGACTTAAAAAAATAACAAAAATTTTAAAAATTAAAAAAAAGAGATTTAGATGGTATATGCCTTGTAATAGTTTTTTTAAAAAATTTTTTTTGAGACAGAATCTCAAGCTGTCACCCTGGGTAGAGTGCCGTGTGTCACCGCTCACAGAAACCTCCAACTCTTGGGCTTAAGTGCCAGCTCCAGTGTATGTGGCTGGTGCCCTAGCTGCTGAGCTACAGGTGCTGAGCATTTGTAATAGTTTTTAAACAGACATATTTAACTAGGTGTGTGGCTTATACCTGTAATCCTAGCACTTTGGGAGGCTGAGATGGGTGGATTTTTTAAGCTCAGGAGTTCAATAACAGCTTGAGCAAGACCTTGTCTCTACTGAAAATAGAAGAACTAGCTGGGTGTTGTGGCAGGCATGTGTAGTCCCAGGTACTTGGGAGACTTAGGCAAGAGGATCGCCTGAGCTCATGGGTCTGAGGTTGCTATGACCTATGATACCACAGCACTCTACTCAGGGCTGCAGAGTGAGACTCTCTGTTTGTCTCTCTCTTTATCTCTCACACACACACCAACATAGATACATTTGGAAGAAGTGTTGCTCCAAGGGGCATTTACAAAGATATTCATGAAATGTTTCTTATGGTAGCACAGTAGGGGTAATCAACCCACCCTTGAGCTGGCATTGAGTAGGTAAAACTTGGTGGGTGCACACTATGAATCAAGTCAGTAGTCAGCTCATTGTATGGTAGAACAAGTCCCAATCTCAGTAACCTGGCGCTGGGAGAAAGACAAATGACTTGAGATCAGTCTCTCTCTCTCTCTCTCTCTCTCTCTCTCTTTCTCTCTCACACGCACACACACACACACACCAGGTTCATAGAAACGTAAGGACATACGTCCAACCCATCAGAGTGGATGTCTGCAGTGCTGAGAGAAGAGGAAGAAGTAAACATTAAAGGTTTGCAATGCTTGCAGGACAATGCGGGGTAACAAAGTGCAACTTCCTAGCTTCCTTGTCCTAGAATCCTCTTGCTCCAAAGCCTAAGACTTCTCCTGCCTTCATCATCAGAAATGGAGCCTGAGTCAACAAGTGCTGGAAGCTGACTTGGCAGCAGGGTTTTACTGTGGGGGTGAAGTTTTTGGTGGGCACATCCTCCGTCTGGTGTTTTCCTGGACAGCTTAGTAAGAGGAAATGAAAAAAACACAGTGTTGCACAATTTCTGTCAAAGACGACCATCAGAATATGGGTTGGGAAAGGATGATCCATCAGCCCTATGGAGAGGAAATGAATTCACTGGGGGAGGGGGCTGTCAGAACAGGTTTTCTGGAAGAGATCACACTGGAACTCTGCCTTCAAGGGCATGGATACTGAAGACAGGAAAAGGAAGGACACACCAGGTGCAGGGCACAGCCAGGGTGTCGCCAGGGGACAGAGACTGGGTCTCTCCTGCATATACATGTGGCTGAAGCTGCCGTGGAGAGCCAGGGCAGAGCTATCCAGCTTAGCAAGGAAGCCAGAGGCTGCCCATTCCCTGTCCTGTGTCCAGAACCTGCTGTAGGAGTGACAAGGGAAAAGAGATCCCAAGTTGGAGAAGGTGGCAGAATTTTACCTTCTAGCCCTGGCTCAGGGCAGGGCAGGGAGACCCATTTCTGAGGGTCTCAGTGTAGCAGGGGAGCATGCATCCAGGAAATTTGAGGACAAAATGTTGAGTCTGGGAAATTCAGGGGACTATCAGCACCGCTGGAGACACCTGAGTGACCCTGGAAGATCTGAGTGGGCTTCTTAGAAGAGGTGATGTCTGGAGAAGGGCGAGAATTATTCTGAAGGAGATGGAAACATGAAACAATGTTCCTGACATGCTATCAGCACATGCAGAGATTGGAGGGTAAAGAATAGGACTCATTAGAGAAGGCAAAACTGATTCGGGGGTCAGTCTGGGCCTGGGGTGTCAGCTGGGGCCAGATCCCATAAAGTCCTGAATAGCAGAGACATGGGGTTGGGAAAAATGTAGGAAGAAGGTGAAAGTTCCAGAATTCCCCTCCAAGGCCAGGACCACTCTGTAGCATCCATTCTATGCAGACATATGGGGTTTAGCATCACCAGAGCAAAGGTATGTTACTCTTTCTTTGTTGCTGTTAACTTGGGCTTTGCTTTTTTATTATTAAGCATGCAAAGAGGTATGCAGAAACAATAAAGCCCTACATGCCTTCTACTGAGCTTTATCAAGTTTTGACATCTTCACCTATTTCAGATCCTCTAAAAGGAAATAAATCATAACAAATCAAACAGAGCAGAGGTCTGTACACTTTCCTGCTCTCATCCCTTCTTTTCTTCCCCAAGGCACCTGCCCTCCCTAATTTAGTGTTATCATATTTTAAAACACTTTCTTTGTTTGTTCGTTTTGAGACTAGGTCTCACTCTATTGCAGAGATTGGAGTGTGGTGGCACAGTTGCAGTTCACTGCCACCTCAAACTCCTAGCCTCAAATGATCCTCCAGCGTCAGCCTTCAAAAGTGCTGGGATTATAGGTATGGGCCACCACACCTGGCCTGAAAGTACTTTAATCATGCATATCTCCATAGACAATATATCGGGTTGTTTTACACATCTGGAAGCTTATAACAATTGTCAGCACGTGGTCTATATCCTGCTACAACTTGTTTTTGCTCTCTCCACATTCCCATTATGAGATACGTCCATTCTACATTCATTTGTCATTCACAAAATATAATAGGATAGCAAGTGCTTAGTAAGCAAATGAACAAAAAATCAGCATAAATATTCCTTAATTGGGAAAGGAACAGTTTCTAGGATCCTAAAAAATGTCTTAGTTACAGCAAAATATGAGGACCATTTTCAGTAAAATCACGAACAAAATGAAGAGGGGGTGAGCACGGTGGTTCACACCTGTAATCCCAGCACTCTGGGAAGCTGAGGCAGGTGGATTTCCTGAGCTCACAGGTTTGAGACCAGTCTAAGCCAGAGGGAGACCCCTGTCTCTAAAAATAGCCGGGTGTCGTGGCAGATGCCTGTAGTCCCAGCTACTCAGAAGGCTCAGGCAAGTGGATTGCTTGACCCCAAGAGACTGCGATTGCTGTGAGCTATGATGCCATGGCACTCTACCCAGGGCTACAAAGTGAGAGCCTGTCTCAAAGGAAAAAAAAAAAAGAACAAAATGAAGATGTCTGCTGTGTATCAGGTGGAATTACATCTCCCCAAAAGGATTTGTTGAAGCCCTAACACCTGGTACCTGTGACTGTGACTTTATTTGTAAATAGGGTCTCTGCGGGTGGGACTAGGTTGTGATAAGTCCACTAGGGTGGCACCCAATCCAATATGACCATAAGAAGAGGAGAGAGGCACAGAGGGAAGGTGAGGTGAAGGAAGAAAGCCGTGTGATGACAGAGGCAGAGATGTGTCTAGCAGGCGCCAAACGCAGAGATTGCTGCCAACCACCAGCAGCCAGGCAGAGGATTCCCCCCTCCACATTTCAGAGGCAATGAATGTGGCCTTGCCCACAAATCGATGTCAGACTTCTGGCCTCCAGAGCGGGAGCAAATAAATTTCTGTTACTTTAAGTCTCCAGTTTGTGGTCCTTTGTTGTGGCAGCCCTAGCTACTGGTTTGTTAAGAGCTATTTCTTCAATCTTGCAGAAATACCTTAATAATTGAATATGAGAACCATTTTTGGTAAAACTAAGATCTGATCACAGCCAAACAAGTGAGGCATCTTTGGTGGAGGCTAAGATACAAGACAAGTCAGCAGAAATCATCATAAATGAGGACATTCAGCAGATCAAGTCAGCTAGGACCAGAGGTCAGAGGAGAAGTAGCTCTAGGAAAACTGGGGAGCTACCTGCCCACCATGCCCAAGTAGAGGGGCATAACAAGCTCCCTTTACAAGTTATGGAATTTCATTGACAGCATCACACAGATCAGCCACACCACGAGTGGACAAGTGCTTCTCCCTATCAACCCCAGACCACCCCCCAACAACCTTCTTGAAATTCCTGGGAGGTCTGGCCCACCCCGTTCTTCAACCCCTCCCATTGATATCTCCCTACCCGGGTTCCGGTTTCTCTTCCTGAGTGAGAATAGATAAAAGGAGTGAGGATTGGGGAGTGGGAGATGAAAGCCATGGTCCCCAGGAGTTGTGCGCATTGAAAAGCAGTGGGGGGAAACTTGAATGTCTCTAAGGAACCAAGAGCCCATCAGCTGCAGCTCCTGGGTAAGGCTGGGTGGGACCCCAGGATCCATGGGAGGAGGGCCAAGGGGTGACCAGCTCTGGCCTCAGCTTCCCCAGGCTCTCAGTTGATGTCTATCCATTCAGATGAGGAAGAGCTGAGAACTAGCAGAGGCAGATTTATTGCAAGAGAATTAGGTGCCAAACAGACTTGTGGACCAAGAATGTGTGCAGGTAGAGGAGGGTCAGGGGCCAGGGAGGATGGACAGAACTTCATACATTCATCTGGGTCAGTCCTGCAGAGCTGGAGGATGGGGACCTGGACTTCTGGGTTCTGAGGAAGTAGGGGCTGGGGCCAGGCTACCCCTGGGCCCAGCTGAGGTGGGAATACTGGAAAACTTGGCCAAGTCTCCATCCTCCCCACAGGGCATCTGTGTCATGCCTCCCTGGTGCTGCTGTTTCTCTCCTTCATGGTCCTTGCTGGGCTCCTGGTTACCATCCTCATAGTAGGTGAGAAACACTCCTTGGTCGGGAACTCCCAGGTCTGGCTTTTTGGCTGTGGAAAGAGCCAGAAGTGGCCAGTTCCAGGAAGGCGGTAGGGCTAAAAGTTGCTGTTGGGTCCCTTGGGGCTTCTAAGGGCCTCTCGCTTGACCACAATTCTGAGCAGGCCATTCTTTGCTTTCATCTAAGGGTGCCTGGCTTCCTAATCCTCAAGGGGGATTAATCAAGACCTTGGCTCTCAAAATTGATGGCCCTGGAAGCCCAGGGCAAGGCATGGCACACAATCAGTGTTCAACAAATGTAGCTCCTTTTTCCTCGGCACAGTCTGCAATCTCTCCAGATCTGTGGGGAAGGAGTTGACCCAGCTGAAGCCTGCAATGGGTGAGGGCCCAGAGAGATCCAGGCAGGAGGAGACCTACAAGGAGTTGGCCCAGCTGAAGGCTGCAGTGGATGCATTCCCACAGCTGTCCAGGCAGGAGATCTACAAGGAGTTGACCCAGCTGAAGGCTGCAGTGGGCACATTCCCACAGCGGTCCAGGCAGGAGGAGATGTACAAGGAGTTGACCCAGCTGAAAACTGGAATCCGTGAATGCCCAGCACAGTCCAGGCAGGAGGAGATCTACCAGCAAGTAACTCAGCTGAATGCTGCTGTTGGTGAGTGTCCAGACACCAGAAGTCCTATGGCTGGAGAGTTTCCATGTGCTGTGACTTTGCTAGGGTCTCACTTTATGCATATGTATAATGGAATCACAGGATAATGGGGATGTCAGAACTTGGTTTTCACAGGGAACAGGTACACAGTGGGCACTCAATGAAGTTAGTCTCCTGCCTTCTGGCCTGAGCTGTAAAGCCCCTACAGGTCCCAGTCTGTAGATAAGCCAGGACCCTTAGGTTCTCCTGGTGATTAAGAGGGTCTCAGGATGAAGAGAGGGGCATGTCCCAGCATGAACAGTCAGGAAAGATCCCCAAGCCAAAGGACTTGAAGGGTGGGCAGGTGCAGGACCCAGATCTGGGTCCCAGTCCTGGCCAATCTACCCAACAGGTCACCTGTGCTGCCGCTGTCCCTGGGACTGGACATTCTTCCAAGGAAACTGTTACTTCTTCTCCACTATCCAGCGGAACCGGCACAATTCCATGACTGCCTGCCAGGAGGTGGGGGCCCAGCTAGTCATGATCAAAAGCACCGAGGAGCAGGTATACCTGCTGGGGGCCTCATCCTGGTCTGGGGCATGCACATGGCCACTGGCCAACTTGGATGGGGATGTTCAGAGGGGATTGTCTGGCACAGGGGCTGCTTGTTCCCTTTGAAAGATATTGGAGGCAACAGATATAAGGGAGAGGGTCCCAAGCACCTTGCAAGGAAAAACAAGTTCTGAACACATACAAATGATTTGGGGAGCACATCAAAAGTACATGAACCCAAATGGTGTGCTGGCAAATGTTTAACAACCACCTCTGTGGGGGTAATTCTCACTATGGCTGATTGATGTGATGTCACTCAATGTGGAGCTGAAAAGACATGTGCATGACCAGCCAATGAGTAAATTGTGTAAAATATAAAAAAGAGAACTTGCAGTATTCACAGATGTCTGTGAGGAGAGGCCAACAGTGCATGTAGGTCTGTAAGTCAGAACATACGTGCTATGGGATACCGATGTGAGAGGGACTTAGACAGGTAGGGGCTCAGGACCCTGTACGCTAGAAGGTTGAAGATTATACTGCAAGCAGAACTTTCTGCAAACAGATGGGAAGACATGAGCCATGAACATAGGAAGCAGAGCTCCCTTCTCACTCCTCCTCTATCCCTCCCGTAGGACTTCCTACGGCTGCAGGTTTCCACAAAGGAACGCCACACCTGGATCGGGCTGTCAGACCTGACACACGAAGGCACATGGCAGTGGGTGGATGGTTCACCTCTGCCATCCAGGTAGATCCGGGAGAAAGGGACACGCTACTCAGTGTAGGGTGGGTGGGTCTTAGACTTGAGCCTTCCTTGGGGGCCCTCCCCTACTCCCTTAGGGTATAGGGTGTGGGATTTTCTCAACTCCTGATTTGAGGAAGGTGCTCTCCATGCTCACATTCAGTGCCTAAAATTCCACTATCAGAGCTGAAGGAAGAGCTCATCTCTCGGGTGAAGGTTTTAAAATACAGTGTCTTAATAGCAGTCTGAGCTATAGTAGAGCCAAATGTTCACAAGACAAGTAGTACTGTAAAGACAGCTTGTCATACTGACAGACCCCAAAGGTGGAGCTCACATCATAACAGCACAGGACACCTGAAGAAGCCCCCAGGGTCACTTACAGGGCGGGTGATGGGCAGGAACCTGTGGGGTATGTGGGAAGGAACTGGTAAGACAGGGTGAGCAGCCTTAGGGTGGGCTAGTTGGAGTCATTTCCGTGACCTTGGGTATCCAAGATGTCCCCAGCTGTCTGGCACCTGGCCCTGATGTGATTAGGTCAGAGGACAGTGGCCCAGACTAGAGAGACTAAGAAGGGAAGTGGTGGGGTGTGCACTCTAGATTGGCTGGTTTGTGTTTGAAATCTTACCCCTAGGAGAAGAATTCTTCCCAAGGAGGGGCACAACAGGGGAGGCAAGAGGCCAAGGCACTAGGACTTGGGCATATTATGGGTCGTCCAGAGCAGTGCCTGTCTGGGATACAGATGCAGGGCAGATGCTAAAACCCTCAGGTTTACAGAGGGTAGAAACATGATTCATGGAGTTGTGCAAAAAGAGAGGCTCACCTGAGTTCAGGAGTTCAAGACCAGCCTGAGCCAGAGCAAGATCTTATCACTAAAAACAACAACAACAAAAAAAACCAGGCATTGTGGCGGGCGCCTGTGGTCTCAGCTACTTGGGACTCTAAGGCAAGAGAATCACTTAAGCCCAAGAGTTTGAGGTTGTTGTGAGCTGTGATGCCACAGCACTCTAGGGCGACAAAGTGAGACTCTGTCTCAAAAAAAATGAAAAAAGGCTCACATTCAGTCTGGGCTTTGCGGCTTCACCAAGTATTGGAACAACGGGGAGCCCAACAACATCGGGGAAGAAGATTGTGTGGAATTTAAGGGCAAGGGCTGGAACGACCACAAATGCAATGTTCTCAATTTCTGGATCTGCAAAAAGTCTGCAGCCTCCTGCCCCAGCTAGGGAGGGCAGTTTCCCTCGTTAACCACTGCAGTCCTAAGCCTGCCTGCCAAATAGAAAAGCTTTACATACCTTTAAGGCAAGATTCCTTCTCCCCATCCCCAAACACTAACAAACCCCCTGGGATTGGTCTCTATCAGATTCCTCATCCCTATGGGTCTGGGTCCTGATCTGTCCTTCCTCTGTTGTCTGCTGATTCTTCTGGCTTAGAGGTTGTGCTTCTGGCCTATTCCTGGAGCTTTAGACGTGAGCTGGTGTGGGTGCATTGAGGGGCTTGGTGTGCTCTGTTAATCTACTGTCTCTTCCTTTCCAAGATCAGAACATTTGAATGGCCGTGTGTGGCTGCCACGTCCCCAGGGCTTTTACCCCATCCATGCACACCTTCCATCTACTATCCCCTGCACCCCTTTGACTGAGCATTGGCTGGTTGCAACAGTCATCTTGTAGGCTGGAAGCTCTAGGGCATTAAATCCCCCAGTGGCACCTGGAGATGGCATTGAAGCTCCACCCAGCACCCCAACATACATCTTTTGGTTTTTGTTCTTTGCAATCGCTTCCATTTGTTTCCCAGCTGTATCCTTTATAATAAAATGATAAATAGAAGCAAAGTGTGTTCCTGAGTTCTGTGGGTCATTCTAGAAAATTCTTGAACATCAGAGTGGCTTATGGGAACCCTTAGTTTGTGTCTCATCAGCCAGGTGAAAGTGTTAGTACACTTGGCACCCTTTTGTGGCTGGCATCTGCAGTGAGGTCAGTCTTGTGGGACTGAGTCATTTAACTTGTGGATTCTGGCTGCTAAATCCATGTAGCTAGTGCGAGGGGGAAATGAGAGTACCCAGCATACAAAGAGGAGCACTGTTCTCTACTAACTTGGGGCACTCAGTAAAAATGTTATACAGCAGTTTCAGCATGGGCCAAGATAACTAACAGGCCCGGCAAATGTGCCCGGTCCTTTTTGGGTACCTCAGCACTTTCTTGCTTTCAAATGGCCAGTTTAGAAAAATTGTAGTATCATTCACATAATATGGATCAAATGGCTGGACATGATGATGGCACTGTACTCACGGTGATTTGTTCCACTGTGAATATGCAAACCAGGTAAAATCTTTGCATTATTCATCTGGGAAGAGAACAGATGAACACACCACCACCCAGTGGGCAGATGTAGATTTTGCATGCAAGAATAGGGTGACCAGACATCCCGATCTTGGCGGGCCAGTCCCACTTTTCAACCATTTGTCCCGCGTCCTGCGGTTTTAAAAAGCCGATTTTTGGAAAGAATGCACGAACAGGCAGGAGAACAAGAAGGGAATATATGGTTTTCGGCCACCATATGGCTATTTCGCCAGAATATGAGTTTTATATTATTTTTATTAATTTTATAATGTTAAACTGTAATAAATAATTGCTGAGAAGTGATTTTTGAGAACTGCTTATCAAAGTTTGCATTGTTGTTAGGCCCTGCCTACCCTGTCGCCTGCCCGCCCCGCCCCGGCTCCGTCCCCCGGCCATGTTGTTCTGCCTTACAGATGTTAGAATCTGGTCACCCTATGCGAGAAGGCTCCCTTGGAATAAACTCTGTTCTTGTGCAATTGCTTTTTTAGATGATGCTTTTAAACCACTTTAGCTCTAAAGGCTTTTTTTGTTTATTTTTTGTTGGTTGTTTTTTTTTGGTGGGAGGACAGATTCTCACTATGTCGCCCTCAGTAGAGTGCCATGACATCACAGCTCACAATAACCTCAAACTCCTGGGCTTAAGCAATTTTCTTGCCTCAACCTCCCAAGTAGCTGGGACTACAGGCACCCTCCACAACTCCCAGCAATTTTTTGCTGTAGTTGTCATTGTTGCTTAGCAGGCCCAGGCCAGGTATGAACCTGCCAGCCTCATTGTATGTGGCCAGTGCCCTACTCACTGAGCTATAGTCACCACCAGCTCTAAAGGTCTTAATGTACTTTTTGAACAAGTCAAATCTGCGTACATGGAACCAAGACATGGCAATCTCTACAGAGAAAACCAAAGCTCACTCCTCCACATCCTCTGATCTTGAGAGGTTACTGTCCTGGTGGTACTTCTTTGTGATATTCCAATTCACTTTTCAAGCTTGTTTGAAAATCTGTTTTTCAGTCTTTCAGCAGGATTTTAAAAATCTATCCGATATAGGTAGGGCACAGAGGATTGCTAGGAAACGTCTCTGCCTGACACTGCGGTGGTGGATACACATCACTACACATTGATCCAAAGCCACAGAACATGCAGCACCAGGAGTGGACCCTAGTGCAGACTGTGGACTTTGGGTGATAATGATGTGTCAGTGTGTTCATCAGCTATAACACAGGTGCCTCTCTCCTGGGCATGTTGATAGTGGGGCGTCTGCATGTATTTGGGAATAAGAGGCATATGGGAACTCTGCACCTTCCACTCAGCTTTGCTGTGAACTTAGAGATGCTATAGAATCTAAATCTGTTTTAAAAATTAATCTGTTCTCTGGGAGGCCGAGATGAGTGGAGTGCTTGAGCTCATGAGTTTGAGACCAGCCTGAGCAAGAGTAAGACCCTGTCTCTAAAAAATAGCCAGGCATTGTGGCAGACACCCGTAGTCCCAGCTACTTCGAAGGTTGAGGCAGGAGGACCACTTGAGCCCAGGAATTTATGGTTGCTGTGAGCTGTGATGCCATAGCACTCAACCCAGTATAACAAAGTGAGACTTTGTCTCAAAAACAAAAAGTAAAAATTAATCTGTTGTTCTTTGAATAATAAAAACCAATTAATAAGTGTGGAAGGAATGAAAGAAATAGAAATTTACCATTAATTGCTACAGGCAAGATCAATGGGTGAGACAAAGGAGAAAGAGGATATTTTTATACCCTCAAAGTATCTCTTCCTAAGATATTTATTAATGACCATGGCAGTTTTAACATGTGTTCTCATGTTTTGATACTTTTTTCAGTGGCACTGGCCAGAGTGCCATCATATGTGCTTTGCCTTAAGCAGGGAGCCCTGCTGATGTTGAACTCTTGTCTTTCCAGAGATTGGAAGCTATAGAGTGGTCCTGGCCTTGGAGATGAATCCTGAGCCTTTCACCTTCTTCCCACATTCCTCCAAATCCTGTGTCTCTGTTATTCAGGCCTTTGTGTGATCCAGCCCCAGCTGACACCCAGACCCAGACTGTGGCCCCTGAATCGGTATTGGCTTCTCTGTGTCCTGTTTTTCACTCTCCGAATCTCTGCATGTGCTGATAGCATGTCAGGAACATTGTTTCATGTTTCCATCTCCTTCAGAATAATTCTCGCCCTTCTCCAGACATCACCTCTTCTAAGAAGCCCACTCAGATCTTCCAGGGTCACTCAGGTGTCTCCAGCGGTGCTGATAGTCCCCTGAATTTCCCAGACTCAACATTTTGTCCTCAAATTTCCTGGATGCATGCTCCCCTGCTACACTGAGACCCTCAGAAATGGGTCTCCCTGCCCTGCCCTGAGCCAGGGCTAGAAGGTAAAATTCTGCCACCTTCTCCAACTTGGGATCTCTTTTCCCTTGTCACTCCTACAGCAGGTTCTGGACACAGGACAGGGAATGGGCAGCCTCTGGCTTCCTTGCTAAGCTGGATAGCTCTGCCCTGGCTCTCCACGGCAGCTTCAGCCACATGTATATGCAGGAGAGACCCAGTCTCTGTCCCCTGGCGACACCCTGGCTGTGCCCTGCACCTGGTGTGTCCTTCCTTTTCCTGTCTTCAGTATCCATGTCCTTGAAGGCAGAGTTCCAGTGTGATCTCTTCCAGAAAACCTGTTCTGACAGCCCCCTCCCCCAGTGAATTCATTTCCTCTCCATAGGGCTGATGGATCATCCTTTCCCAACCCATATTCTGATGGTCGTCTTTGACAGAAATTGTGCAACACTGTGTTTTTTTCATTTCCTCTTACTAAGCTGTCCAGGAAAACACCAGACGGAGGATGTGCCCACCAAAAACTTCACCCCCACAGTAAAACCCTGCTGCCAAGTCAGCTTCCAGCACTTGTTGACTCAGGCTCCATTTCTGATGATGAAGGCAGGAGAAGTCTTAGGCTTTGGAGCAAGAGGATTCTAGGACAAGGAAGCTAGGAAGTTGCACTTTGTTACCCCGCATTGTCCTGCAAGCATTGCAAACCTTTAATGTTTACTTCTTCCTCTTCTCTCAGCACTGCAGACATCCACTCTGATGGGTTGGACGTATGTCCTTACGTTTCTATGAACCTGGTGTGTGTGTGTGTGTGCGTGTGAGAGAGAAAGAGAGAGAGAGAGAGAGACTGATCTCAAGTCATTTGTCTTTCTCCCAGCGCCAGGTTACTGAGATTGGGACTTGTTCTACCATACAATGAGCTGACTACTGATTTGATTCATAGTGTGCACCCACCAAGTTTTACCTACTCAATGCCAGCTCAAGGGTGGTTTGATTCTCCTTACTCTGCTACTACAAGAAACATTGTCATGTGTCATGAATATCTTTGTAAATACTCCTGGAGCAACCCTTCTTGCAAATATATCTATTTTAAAAATGTTACAGGGGATATTCCATCTAAATTTCTTTTTTTTTTTTATTGGCTGGGGCTAGGTTTGAATCCACCACCTCCAGTATATGGGGCCAGCACCCTACTTCTTTGAGCCACAGGCGCTACCCAATATTTATTATTTTTTTAAGCCAAGATCTCACTATGTTGTCCAGGCTGGCCTTGACCTCCTGGTCTCAAGGGCTCCTCCCACCTCAACCTCCTGAGTAGCTGGATTGCAGGTGCACACCACCATGCCCAGCTCACCCATCTGTATTTTGTTGCACACTTCCAGATTGCTTTTCAAAATGACTGAACTAATTTGCATACCCACCTACAGTGAACAAGAGTTACCATGTCCACACATCCACACCAATACTTACAATCAATTTAACATTTGCCATTCTAGGCCTGATGCAGTGGCTCATGCTTGTAATCCTAGCACTCTGAGATGCTGGGATGGATAGATTGCCTGAGCTCAGGAGTTTGAGACTAGCCTGAGCAAGAACGAGACCCTGTCTCTAAAAATAATAGCTGGGCATTGTGCCGGGCCTATGGTCCTAGCTACTCGGGAGGCTGAGGTAAGAGAATTGCTTGAATGTAAGAGTTTGAGGTTCCTGTGAGGGTGACACAGTGAGACTTTGTCTCAAAAAAGAAATTTGCCATTCTAATTGGTATAAGGTGGTATCATATTACTTTTTCTACATTCTCTGTGTTCATCATTTCATCTTTTTTTCAGAATAGTTTTTACATGTTAAAAAGCACCTGCTTTTCATTTTAATTTGGCAGTTATCTCCCGTCTGCTCCCTACCTGCTCATTTTACCCATAGCATCCTTGGTTTGTCAGCTGCTTTAAATTTTGCTATAGTTAAATGCATCTTTCCTTCCCCCTTGCTTTGCTATCAGCCTCCACAAGTTTTCCTCCAAAATGTGGGACACAAAGGCTGATTTTCTTCCATGAGCCTAACAGTTTTGTCTTCACTTTAGCTCTGGGATATATCTGAAGTCTGCTTTTGTGTATGGTGTAAAAGAGGGGTTTGACTTTTTCTTTCTGTATATAGTGAAGCGGTTTTGCCAG